CACTTTCTAGAGCTTTATATTACAGCTTGTAAGGTATCTACTGAACATCAGCCTTTTTGAAGCTGGGTAACTATCTCGGAAATTGTCTGATCTGTTTTCTGCTTGTCACAATGTGGAGGGAGAGTATATGAAGAACGTCAGAAAGAGGGCTAGTAAACAAGCTCATGGAAGTGCTGAGAGACTTAAAATTGACCTTATCAGAGTACTTGGTAGTTGTGATTATTCAGAGCAGTAAGACAGAGTTTATACTGCATTTAAACCTGGTATGCTTTTAAGTATCTGGCCTGCAGCTCTTGGAAAATACAGGAAGAAATAAGTTATGGAGCCATTCTTAGACTGTGGCATCTGCTTTAAAACTGCAAATTAGAGTTTAAATAACTGGCAGGTTTATCTTGTATGCAAATACTGCAGCCACAGAAGAAACAGGCTGCTTGACTGAATGCTGTGTGGGATATAGCACTTGGAGACCCAAGGCATTCTTCTTTTTTCACTCCTCCTGAATTAGTACCATTGAAAGCCCTCACACATAGGGCTCGGTGGCTCTTAGTGTAAACTTGTGAAGCTTTTGATTCAAAACCTGACTGGGAAAAGTGCATATCTCATGGAGGTCATGGTGTATTTTGCTGAAGTTAAATTTGGGATTAATATAGTCTACTATTTTCTACAAGATACTTTAATTAAAAAAAAAAAAACGATGGTGCTAAACTTCAGACACTTGCCAGCTTTCTTGGTTGTCTTGGTGTTGGAGGGGGTTTGAATGTCAGGCAATCATGTCAGTTAAATCTTGAGTAGCCTTTTTAAAAAGCAATTCTCCTCAGTCAAGAAAGCATCAGAAAAATTACCTTGGCAAAGCCTAATCAATAGGTTTTTCTCTCTGAGGACCTGCGCTGCAGCTCTGCAGAGCGGCTCAGCCGAAGGTACCTGCTGGAGCCGGCGCAGCCATCCGGGCCCTGACGTCAGCAACATCCGATCCCAGGCCTGGCCTGCATTGGCTGCCGCTGCCTCCACTCCATCACCAGCTCTTTTTTTATTTCCCCCCTTCTAAGTGACACTGATCTGGGATTGGGATTTAGCTCAAGCTAGGCTGCTTGGGGAAGCTGGAAAGAGGGGACTAGAGTTGCTAAAGAAAAACCAAAGGTGCCCGCTAGTACGTGAGGGTCAGCCAGCCTTGCCCTCCTCGCGTGTGCCAGGCGGTCACTGAGGGCTGGACCTCATCTTGGGAATGTGCTCATGCGGGAGTGGAAGGGTCCAGCTGAGCTGCTGCTGCCTTTCAGGTTTTGGAAAGATCTGTGCTGTAAAGCTGTCCTAGCTGTCATCGTAGGGGAAGGATGCTTGTGTATCTGGTGCTAACAGCAAGTTCTTTATTGGAACAGATAGATCCTTTGTGCTGTTAATCACTTGAGATCAATGTTCTTTCTCTCCCAGGAAAAAGGAGGCAAGAAACCATCAGGATTATTCACTCTAATCAGAGCTTGTTTTGAGATAAAGTAAGGTTGTGCTTGTGGCTAGATTAGAATTGGACCCAGCTACATGGAAAGAAGCATGGCTGCTCTTGAAAACATTTCTGTTGACTCCAAGCCAGCCTTATTTTACTTTACTATAGGATTTTAGTGCTCTAATATTCATCAAGTAAGGTATGTAAAACTGGATTTATTTTTTTTTTTCAATTTCAACCGAAGCTGTAGATTCTTTAAGGCTCTTTGTAGCTTCTCATAGAAACATCACAGGATTTCTAACAGGGTGGTTAGTACTGGCTAGGTACTAGTAAAACCTTAATTTAGGACATCTCTTCCAGCAACCCATTGGGCCAGCACTGAGAACAGCAGTAGGGTGGATGCTGCTCTGTTACAGTGAACTTGCCGTGCTATTGCAAAATGCTCCCCTTGTGTCATCACAGGTTCTGGGCTGCGGGGTTTAAAACTACCTTCGTGCTCAGTTCACCATTTGTGCAGACTACAGTCATATTGGGCCGAGAGGGTAGCCAAGAAACACTGAAATGGATGGGCATGTTAGTCTACTGGGTAAAGCAATAGCAAGGGCCTGGTTCTGTGTCCAAGACAGGGGAAAATCTATTATGACTCAAAGAGCTCAAAATATTGAAAGTCAAGAATTAGATACATAGCTCGCTGGAAACAGGATCCACCCTTGCAAATACTTTTGTATTTTTAAAATGTGCAAGCTATTAAAAAGCATTTCTCAAAGTCTATTGTGAAAAGGACTGGCTTCCATGAGTCAGGTTTTACAGGAACTGATCCAAGCCTTATTCTTCTCCCTGGAAGAATTTCCTTCCAATTTTCTCGTGCAGAATGAGGTTCTGCAGACAAGCCCCTGATAGTGAGAACTGATACTTACCTATTAAGGGAAAGAAGGAAGAAAACCCCACCTGTCGTAAGGATACTTGGTGTAATGTGTAGTGCTCTGTGTCCCTGTGCCAGACTCCCATTCCTTACCTTTCTCGTCTTTGTTAGTTTGCTTTTCTGTGTGCAGTGCTTTGGAGTGAACCCTAACAAAGCTGCTAAGTAATTCCACAGTATAGAAAGGAGCAAGACTTAATCTTACAAGGAGGGCTAGAGAACTATTCAAGTACTCTAGAGAATACTTGAAAGCCTCTCTGGAAAGCCCCTATTACCAGTGTAAAACAGGCTTTTACACTGTAAAATACCTTGAAGTTTTTGATGTCCAAGCCTTAACTTGCAAGACCTAGTGAAATAATTGCTGGTGCTGGTATAGTTTTCTAAGAATTCTCCATGCTTTTATATAGGTTTTTTTATATGAATCTTCATGCATTTGTCGATGACTCAGGATCTACCAAAGATTCTGGTGTGGATCAGAACATCTACAGGTTTTCTGAACTCAGACTTACTGCCATGTGCAGACACTGATGAGACTCGGAACCGCTGTGTCTGTCCTGTTGCTTAGAGTATGTAGGGTAGTATGGGCCAGATGTGAGGTGGGGAGGAGGGAGGACCTGAAGACATTTTCTAGTTCAGGAGCTTTGAATGGGAGAGATAGAGCAGAATAGGGCACAGTAAATACAATTGACTTTACAGGCTTAGCATGGATGTGTGCTCCTCTGACCCTGCAAAAGTAGGATGGGGCTGGGAGCTTCAAGCCAAGTAGGATTAGAACTGTGTCTTACTCTCAATGGTGCTTTGTACTAATACTTTGGTGCTGTACAAACAACTGTAGTAGTGGAGCCTGGAATAACCAAAGCCTCCTAACCAGGAAGCTACTTCACTAAATCCAAAGGTTTTCACCTTCCTTTTATAACAAGACCTGTATTGCCTCACTAGATATGTGCACACCTGGAAGTTCCCAGCTCACCCCATAAAAAGAACCTGTATGCTACAGTTTAATGCTCAGTCCCACTGAATGAATGCTGCTATCTGAATCAGGTGTTTGGTCAGCAACCCCAGGGTGCAAACGTCTGGGTCAAGGTTCAGATTTAGTTTAGATTGGCTCGATTAAAGTATCTACTGGTTTGTCTGAGAACAGTCAAGTTACTGTGTCAGATATTCAATGTGAAATGGTATTTGGAGCTGCAGTTGGAACACTGTTTTCTCTTTTTTAATGTGGGAGGTGTGGCTCAGAGGTGAGCAGATGGATGGTGCCAAGCAGCACACCTCTCAGCGTTAAGCCATTCCGCGCTGGAGCTAGAGATCAAAATCTTCTTTCTGCTCCCTTTATTTGTATTTCTGCTTGTACACTGGGATTGTGTGTGTCTGAAAGATGGCTGTTGTCAGTGTGTCAGGCCTGCTCGCTGATGCTTGTGTAATCTGATGGCTAGGGCACAGGGCTGAGAGCACAGATGTTCAGGGCCTGACTTAAAAATGCACTAGTAGCAAATCAGTGTGTGTAGGTGCTTTCTTACTCTGAATTCAAATGTGACCTGTCCCTCTAAAAAAAACACTGTCTCGTGAAACGTCTGAAAAATGCTCGGTTTCAGTGGCAGTGTTCTTGATGAAGCGTTCAGCCTCTGCAAAGCAGGGGAGAGCACTCGAGACATCTTTCTCAAAGAAAATAGTGTAATGCATTTCTGCTGACAGACAAGTCTCTACCAATACATAAGCATGCCTGTGGCTGCTGAATTCCTCCTGTGATAGGGCTTACATTCAAGACCACAATAAAGTTGTTTGAGCTAAAACTGACCAAACAGAGTTTCAGTGCATTGTGTGTATGCCCTTACATTGTGTAACCTGTTTTGAGAACAGAAGTAAAAGCCTGTTTGCCTTCAATTTAGAATAGGGGAGTTCTGGGCAGGTATGCAGTAGGCCTACAGATGTGCAGTTCTGCCTGTCTTTCAGGGTTTTGTAGCATCCCTTTTCCCGTGGTAAACACTTCAGCTATGTAAAGTGGCGCAGGCACTCTAATAATGACATCGTGTCCCCTTTCCCCTTCCTTTATCCCCTTACCACCTCACGTCCTGTAGTATTCAGAGTCATAGATTTTGTTCCTAACAGGAGTTTAAATGGCAAATCCAGCATGAAACACGAACCTTGGGTCTATGGTGGATATACCACTTCTCTCACTAGCAGCATTTTTCCCTCTGAAGAGCCCACCTGTTCGCTTTCACAGGTTGGTGTAAGGACTGGTGACGCCTGAGCAACTGGAGTTTTTCCACAGTGGTGCACAGTGCTCTCTGGGCTGTGGCTTTCAAACACAATACACCTTTGTAACTTGTTGAAGTTTAGGCGGTGGTTGTCCTTGTAGTCATGCCTGAGCCAGTCTTCTTTTTAACAAGAACTCATGTTTCCTCATACTCCTTCCCTTTCCTCTCCCTCAAGCATGTGTTTGGATTGAGTACCAGGAAATCTGGGATCGCAGTGCAGCTGCTGACTTCAGAATTCTTTGAAAATTACAAATTCCTTTTACTTCGGAAGAGCTTGAAATCCATGTTCAACGTGCACGTTTTCTCTCGCTTTTTCACTGTTATATTTCATTAGCAGTTTAGCAATTATTTTCCGCTATGTACCTTTCTTTAATCTGTTCTTCATTTTCAGCTCTCCCTCCAAAGCCCCCCAAACCAATGACTCCAGTCAATACGAATGGAATAAAGGACAATTCCAGTTTCTCTTTGCAGGAAGCAGAGTGGTACTGGGGGGACATTTCAAGGTAAGCAATATTACTAAAATATATTATTTAAAATATATTAATATATGTTATTAAAAATAGAATAAGCCTGTTAAAATTCAAGAGAAGAGGAACATACCTATTTCAGGCAGCATTTTACAGGAGGGAAACGCTTCAGGACTATACTTGGTAAAGCACCTAAATGAAAGTATTCGCCTGGATTCAGGTCTGTGTTTAAGTTGTTACTGTTCTGGTGCAGATATTGCCAGTCTTGGTGACAGTTATTCTGGGTTTCTAAACTTCCCCAGATACGCAAAGTCTTTTAGAAAGAGAAAATTACTTCGTTCAAAAGAAAAGTGCTTCTGCTAGCTAATAAGGCTTTGTAAGCACACAATTCTGGGATGCATGCAGTTCAGCAAAATTTCAGTAGGAGGCTTGCTCAGGATAAAAGGAGTTGCATTGTTGTTTCTTTAACATTTGGTTAAAATTGTATCTGTATTAATTTCTATTACATGGTGGTATAAAAATAGCTCTTACAAATGCTAACCATCATCAGCTATACTGAGCAGATGATACAGACACATACAAAATAAATTAAGTTTTACCTCTTAAGGAAACCCTTTTCTATGCGCTTGAGAAAATAGATGGCTTGGGTTAGGTTCAGAAAATGAAGTGCCAGTTTTTATATACTTAATTGCATAAAAGAACTGAAGTGTCCAGTCATCTTTCTTCCTCTTAAGGCACTTCTGAAGAGTTTAGAGTTTAGAACTGTAAGGAGAGACATGAGCATGCTGGGAGTGTGATCAGGAATTGCTCAGACTTGTGCACATAACACTTTGTCAGATAGAGGCAAGAAGAGCATGTTTGCCATAGTTCATTGAAGTTCTGAAAAGGGAAATAAAGTTTTCATATCTTTATTGTACCACCCTTATCTTTATAAAGCAAACCTGCATAGATCTTGCTTTTGAAGGGCCTTGGCAGTGAGATTTTTCTGTTAATTCTAAATCGAAGCAGAGTGGCAAGACCTGATCACAAAACCCACTAGGCAGGGTTGATTTAAAACTGCTTTATATTGGTATCAGTTTATTGACTGCAGATTTGTTCCTCAGTTAACAGTACATGTGATGGCAGGAGCTAATGCAGTACAAATCACATTGGAGTGGCTTTATTAGATAAAAATGTGATACACAAATGTAAAGATGAAATTGTTTGTGATCATAACTTAACAGCCAGCAGGTAGATTGCATCATGCTGGTGGGGCAAGGAGCCATGTTTTTCAGTCAAGAACTTGTGCTGATAATTTTGTCATGAGCTCCAGGGTGCAACCTGCAGGCGTAAGATCAAGCCCTTAGATCATACCTACCCATTCAAAAAGAAGGCCCTTTGGGTTAACTGGGTCCAATCTGTAAAATGTTCTGAGAGGAGTGAGCGAATATGCACATGATACTTAATAGGAGTCAGTTTTACTAACAGAATGGTTTTCAGGTAGCTAAATCAAAGCTAAGGCTATTTTCTAAGAACACTTGTTCCTTAGTATTTGAACAAAAAAAAAAGCTGCTGTTGATTTTTCTTTGTAAGATTCAAGTAGGCTTCCTACCTTGCTTACATAATGTTGAGACTACCTGATAAACTTTTGTTTCCAAACGATTGTTTCAAAAAATACTTAGTGCTTCTGCGAACCTGTGAGGGAGCTGTTATAAAGTGAGATGTAATCTGGGTGACATGGTCAAACCTGCCAAGACACTTAACTCTTCAGATGAAACAGTTTTCTTAATGCTTACGGGTACTCACTTTCACAAAAAAGATTTCTTGATTTAGCTTAAAGCTCTGGATTAAATATCAGTTTGCTTCAGTTTTAAGTAAGGACAGGTTGCACTGAAGCCAGCAAGGTTGTAGTAGTTTAAAACTGCTGTAAATAAGATGAGAGTCAAACTAATAATGAGTCTCTTGAGACTAAAACTGTGCTAAATTCTAGACACCTTTGAGCTATGATGCTAGAGACCATTCCTTAAGTCAGGACTAGCTTCTCAAAGGGCACCTGTTTCCAGCGTGGACTTTAAAACCTGAGCAGATCACAAGGAAAGTTGATGAGCCGAGACACAGCCTCTACTGTTGCTTAAACAGAGACTTCTTCCTATATGACCGTTGACTGCAGCTGCTGTTTTTTAGTATAACTACGTGAGTTCAGACTTACTTTAGATGGCCTAAAAGACTGCAGAGCCTGAGCGTGAAAGATGGCCTGATATTTTGAGAATTATGCATGCTGGTGTTACAGCTCCAGTATTGATACCTGTGGCAAAGATAACCATATACTTCATGTTTCTAATTTTTTCCTTCCTTTCCATTCTCCAGGGAAGAAGTAAATGACAAATTACGAGACATGCCAGATGGAACGTTCCTGGTGCGCGATGCATCAACCAAGATGCAGGGAGACTACACTCTGACCTTACGGTAAGCACTGAGCAGTTGTAATCTGCACAGTAAAACCCTGAGTAGCTAGTTGCTATACCAGTGACAGCAGTGGCTGTGTCAAGCTGACATGGCTCAAGTTGAGAGATGTTCCTGAAGGTACCACAGATCACAGAATGAGCAGATGAGTAGCCAGGTCTGATAGTTGGTTCTGTTCCGTGCATTGAATTGTCTCCCTCACTAAACACTACTGTAAGGATCTCTGTGTAGATTAGATGGGACGTGAGGAGGAGAGCCACTCCATAGTGCTTCATGGTTTCAGATCTGCTAAGGAAAAAGGTATAAACTAAGGCTTTGATTAATGGAAGGGTGTTGAATATCTCATCAGTGTACAGCTCTGGAGAATTGAACACGGAGTCTTTGTGAAAAGAGTATCTTGTGCTTTCTGATCTGAAGTTTAGGAAATATTGAATTGGAGCCATGTTTCTTTCTTCATTAAAATTGTCTGCAAATGGCAGACTGCCCAGAGCTGCCCCAGCCCTGTCTACTACAGTTAGGCAGCAGACCTCATGTGACTAGCTGCTGGTGCCTTGCCCAGCCTGTCCAGCCGCTTGCCTCTGCCAGGCTCCCAGGATTGGTTGTTAGAGGCAAACGGGTGAGGTACATAAGCCACTGCCTCTGTAGCACACCTTTGGGAGTTACTATGATATGGTAGGTATTTGATCTTGCCTTGAAATTCCATTGTCTTAATGGCAGGTCAAGAGTGTAGTTTAAATTCTGCTTTGACTTCTGCCTTGAGGTTCACAGCTTGTGCACTAAGGTTTGGCATGATTTGGTTATTTTGCTGAATGCAGATGTCTTTAGGAACCAAAATTGAGAGTGCAGGAAGGACAGGACATTGTCTAAACAGTCTGTTGGTGAAAAAAGGAAGATATAAGCACTATATTTGAGGAAACCACTAGAATGTATAAATCTGGATAATGTAAAGTCCTAAACTTAACAACCATCTTGTAATCCTCAAAGGATTTTGTTTAGGTTCATGTATCCTGTGTTAGCATCCGTAACTCAAAAGAGTTGTTAATCACTGCATAAATGTATACTCGGTTGTATACTCCTAATGACCCCAAATTGCAGGAAATTGTGGGTTTGGGTTTTCATATGGCTCCTTCATTCAGCCTTCAGCATCCTCCTCTTCCCTTGCAAAGCTTATGGCAAGGCTAGGTCTTAAATACCATAAGCTGGCTCTAGAAGTAAAGCATAGGAGGAGATTTTCTTTGGGCTTTGCTCCTGTTCAAATAATATTTGATGATAATTCTGACAAACTACCAGTATCTGCTGGTATGTACAGAATCCCTATGAAGATGTGAAGTGTCAAAGCCACTTGCCCAGGAATTTCACTGGTGTCTTTGTTAGCAGCCTTAGTCTTGAAGCGGGATAGGAGGTACACAGTAAAACCTCTGACTGACTGTACTGCTTTACAGGAAGGGTGGCAACAATAAACTGATAAAGATCTATCATCGGGATGGAAAATATGGCTTTTCTGATCCACTGACGTTCAATTCTGTTGTGGAACTGATTAACCACTACCGCAACGAGTCTCTTGCTCAGTATAACCCAAAGCTTGATGTGAAGTTGATGTATCCAGTGTCCCGGTACCAGCAGGTAAGATCTTCATCGGACCCCAATATAGCTGTTAGTGCAGACAAGAAAAAAATTGCAAATGTGTGTATAATCTTGTTTTCTCTGTGAAGTCTGGGTTTTGGGGTTTTTTTGAAAACCGAAAAAGAAAAAACAAAGTGATTTTTCTATTTGACTTCACTTTGCTCATAATAATGGGTCTTACAAATTGTCTAGCCATTTAAGCTTCTTCATTTTACCAAGCTTCCAGTCTCCATCTGAGCAGTCCAAGAGAAGTGAAACCAATGACGTACAACAGACTTGAACCTCTGAGAAGCCTTTTTTTCCCCTTGGTCCCTTGTGGACCTGCAGGGCAGTCCTGGACAGTGTTGGCCTTGAAGAACATATGAGCCATGGCAGCTGCTCACTCTGTGCATAGCCATCTAAATTTGTCAAGAATGTTGGGGTTTTTTTAGTTTTATTCAGTAGCCTGAGACACTGTCCTGCATTAAGAAAAAAGAACTGCAGATGTATTTTTTTTTTTAAAAAAAGCAACTCTAACTTCAGATTCCAAGCAATTCACTTCCTCCTTTCTCCAATAGGGGATAGCAATCCTAGACCTAAGGTGTAGTGTGGTTTTGGAAGCTTAGTATTTTGGCATAGTTCTTGGTGTCCCATAGTTCCAGTTCCTATTGTCTGTAAACTATGGAACTTGTTGAATAGAGGAAAGGAGATTTAGATACAGTATTTGTGTTCTGTAGAAACCTGGTTATAAAAATGATGCTAATAGCTGTAAAATGCATATGTGTGTAAGTGGAAAAATGAATACTCTTAAGGAAAAGCTGTTTTGCTTGAAGACTTAATAGCTTTTTGTATGTACAGGATCAGTTGGTGAAAGAAGATAATATAGATGCAGTAGGTAAAAAGCTTCAAGAATACCATGCTCAGTATCAGGAGAAGAGTAAAGAGTACGACAAATTGTATGAAGAGTATACCAGAACATCACAGGTTGGTTCTACTTTAGCTATCTGTAGAGTCTGTTTCTTGTTTAAAAAGTAAAGAAAATTATTTCAACTTGTTGTGGCTAATAAAGGCAGTCCAAGGTCAGAAAATAAAAGGAAAAAGCTTAGTAAGTTTTGGAATAGAGCAAGGTGGTTTCAGAATTGATGAAAACAGTGAGTATTACTTGTTGCTGATAGTCCTAGAGACATGGTGCAGGGCATGGAAGAGGAGCTGAGCTTCCTAGTATAAGGTAGAGTAGTGATGAAGGCCATCACCTAGAAGCTTTGCAATGCAGACTTCTCCCTTTGCTGCTGAGTATTTCCAGCTGCTGTATGCAGCAGTGAGAACTGTAGAGGGGTTTGTCCGGGTTTTTTATAAAGTCATGTTCAGATCAGATACCAGATATTATGCATTAAGGAAGCGTGAATACAGTATTTGGACTGCTTGTAAAATAAGATAGTTCATAGATGGGGAGGAGGTTTGCTGGCAGTCTTCCTGCAAGCTAAAATGGAAAATCTGAGTAAAATATTTGAGGGGTTTTCAGCCATGTGGGAGAGGAGGGTAAACTTAGAGGGAGTAAGTCTTCCCTGGACTTCCCTGACTCTACTAGGACATTTCACTAAATTTAAAACTGATTGGAATTGTGGGGGGAGAAAAGTTCATCTTCTCAGTCAGTTTACGGAACATAATTGGGTTCTTGCACTGTCATCTGTATCATGAACAAATGATGAACTCTTTCCTCACGTAGGAAATTCAGATGAAGAGGACCGCAATTGAAGCATTTAATGAAACAATTAAGATATTTGAGGAACAGTGCCACTCACAAGAGCGCTACAGCAAAGAATACATTGAGCGATTTCGCAGGGAGGGGAATGACAAAGAAATTGAACGGTAAGCTCTCAAGTTGTGTTTGCTTACAAGGAAGGACTGGTGTCCACGTTGACACTCCCATGAAATTCTCTTGTATAATATTGCATCACATAAAACACTTTGTAAACTCAGTATTTTCTGTGAAACCTTCCTTCAAGGTGTCTGAACCTTTTCTGTCAAGGAATTGCACTGTAGACAAAAGAGGTGGGAGATCTCTGGATTATTCTCTCTCAACTTCAGTAAATCAAGATACTGTGATGAGGACCAGGAAGGGATCAGGAAACAATTTCATTTGCTTATCCCACTTCTATTTGGGTTTGCTCAGAATATAATTCGGACCAATCTTTACCCGTAAACTCTGAAATGTGCATAGATCTGGTAAATCTCATAGCCCATAGTCAGTTTTAGCCACTTTCAAAAAAGAGCAGTATTTCATTGCCGCTACTTGGTAGTTGATAGTGGCCATCTAACAGAAATTCAGTAAGGGCCTTATTTGAAATGGCCCTTCTGTGAAGATACTAGCAGAAAAAGCTGTATCTGGGCCTTTGAAGAAATGCCAGGTATAATGCCTAACTTGACACAGTAGGTTAACCTTAAGGAAATTTTTAGACTGAAAAGTTACCTTATTATGTGACTGTGGTGCTTCATTCTCACTAAAGATAAATTAACAGGGCAAATAAGTAATTTTCCTGAATTGTACCAAACATGCAACCAAATCTTGAATGAAGAGACAGGCAGCATTACTTCCTCGTAGCTCTTGGTCAGTAATTGAAGTCTGCATCTGAAATCTTGTTAGTTCTGATACCTGTGGTGGGACTGCATAATTGATATACCAAAAAGTGAATCTGACAGTTAAGGAGGAATCTGTTCTAGTTTACCCTCCTAGAGATAATTTGTTCCTGTGTCTCTGCCAGAAGGAAATATATTAAGGTAAACTGAAGGTTCAAACTATGCCAAAGGGTGGTAGGCCTTCTGGCAAGAGCTTTTTTCTGACACTCTGACAGTAATTTTCATGTTAAGATGAGGCAGTCAAAGGGAGGAGCTGCTGTTACAGCAGTTCTTGTCATATTTTTATATAAGTGCTACCAGTAAGGTTCAGTCCTTCTAGAACTGGTTTGACTTCACCTCTCAAATATTACACTTGTTTGCAGGATAATGATGAACTATGAAAAATTAAAATCACGTCTGGGTGAGATCCATGATAGTAAAATGCGCCTGGAACAAGATTTGAAGAAGCAAGCTCTGGACAACAGGGAGACTGATAAGAAAATGAATAGTATCAAGCCTGACCTAATTCAGCTCCGCAAAATCAGAGATCAGTATCTTGTGTAAGTAAGCCTGACCTGTACCTTGGGATAGTGTCTCTGATTAACCTGATTAATGACTGTTTCCATCAGGATAATGGGAATTGAATTTTCTTTTCATAACCAAAGTTCTGTGAGTGCTAAGGTACTATATTCTGGCATGGGATGTCTGAGTAATTGGTTGGCCTTTTCATGACTTAAAGAGCCTTCCACAACTAGGTGCACATTCTCTAACTCCTGTAAATAAAACATTTGAGATAAATAAGTTACAGACAAAACCTGTGCCTGCTAATACAACAGAGTTTAGTACTTTTTGTACTAGGTGTGGCAGATGTTGCTCGTACCCACCCTTGATGTCACTGACACCCCCGTTATCCAGCTCCGAATGTCCTTGGGCTGGACTCGGTGCACTAGGATTCTGGCAGAAGACAGAGGGAAACATGCTGTCTCAGAAGGTGATGTTAGGACGTTAGAAGAAGCCAGTGGCAATACCTGTTTTGTTTTCCCAAGAGAAACAGGCAGTTGTCACAGTTTGTATTCTGCTTCTGTTCTGGACTGCACTGTGCAAAGGCAGAACCTCTTCCTCAGCTCAACCCTCTTCCTTTGTTTAAGAGGTTGCTTGATGGCTCCTTTCTGCTCTGTCCAGTAAAAGGGCCATCTCAGAAGATATTGCAAGGAAGCGCTCTTGTGGAATCCATGGTCTTTCTATGAATTTTGCTACTGGAGAACAAACTAAGCTCCAGACTGTTTCTTTGTGGGACCTTGTGTCTGAGCTTCGGCTTGCTCAGTAAGAAAATCCATACATGTACTCTGGAAGTAACATATTAATGTTCTCTTCTTCTGACAGATGGCTCAATCACAAAGGGGTGAGACAGAAGCGAATAAACGACTGGCTGGGGATCAAAAATGAAAATATTGATGAGTAAGTATCACTATACATATGATTTTACTGAGAAGTGTTCCATTAATAAGTGTTTTCTTTTGTGGGGGTTGGTAATACGAAACACCGATTTCTCAGTAAAGCATTGTAGAAAAAGGAAGGACTGCAGAAAAAGGGAGAAATTCCCTAGGGGAACTCTGTCGTGTGAGGCAGCAACAACTCTGGAATATTTAGGATTAAACAAAGTTGGAACAATTAAGTTCTAAGTTGAAGCCTTTAATTATACGTTCATTAGGAATCTGACTTCCCAGCTTGGGTATGTTCTGGTATTTCTTTGATTTCTGCAAAAGTAACTCACTGTGCTTGTTAAATCATTTACTGACCATTGTTTAGGTTAACAAATTTATCCTGTCTTTCAGCACATACTTTGTGAATGAAGAAGACGAAAACCTGCCACATCATGATGAGAAAACTTGGTTTGTTGGGGATCTCAACCGTATTCAAGCAGAAGACTTGCTCTGTGGGAAGCCTGATGGAGCATTTTTAATTCGTGAGAGTAGCAAGAAAGGATGTTATGCTTGTTCTGTGGTGTAAGTCTATTTTGCTTTTTGTTTCAACTACTCAATTCCTAACTCTCTACCACAGCTCTTTATTTTGGAGAACAAGAGCCAGGCCTAGCCTAGGCCTACCAATTGGAATGTGTTGCATGTTTGCAGGAAGACTAGTGTGGTAAAAGCTTTGTTGCAAAAATGTGCTTTGAATATGCAATAACTGTAGTCCTAGCAGTCTCTTCAGTCACCACAGTAGCTAGTACAGAATTCTGAAATATCCCAACTTGAAGTTCTACAGTTGTAAGTAAATTAAAGCCAAATTATCCCATAGTCTTCCCTGCCAAGGAACACATGGCAAGAAGAAAAATGAGGTTGTAAAGCTGTAACATCTTCCGTTCTTATTTTCAGACACGGCCAACTCTAGATGCTTTCTCTTGTATGTTTAAGATAACAGTGGTGATGCTTCAGAGCAGACATTATTTGAGAGCAGTAGTTTTTGACATTCACACAGCCTTGCTTTGATTTCTTGTGTTGCACTTCATTTTATGCTAGTGTAATGGCAATCAGAAATACTCTGATTCCATTATCTAAAAACCCTTCAAGCCTGTTCTGGAGTGCAGAATGGCTTTCACTGATTTATTTCACATGAGGTTAATTGCTTCTGAAAGCAAGTCCGGGAAATGAATATGTGGAGGTATATCACCTCAAGGTAACTGAAGATGGTATGTTCAAGATACTGTTTGTCACAGTCACCAAAGGGCTGGGTGCATCAGATACTTTTGCTTGGTTGGTATCGTACTACAAGCTAGCAAAGGGATGGCATAACGTAACCTGTTCCTACATGTGACTTGGATTGTAATAGGCTCCAGTACAGGGATTACATAATACTTGATCTTTCTGGCAGATAAGTTTTTTCTAGCAGCTTTGGAAATACTGTGTTGCAGTTACTGCTTTGCCAAGTTAGGGACTCAGTTGCTATGACTTCAGATAATGAACCAGCTTGAACCCGTGCCATGCTTAACATTAAAAAATGCACACTGAAGGTTAGTGCTCTATTTCATGAAATACTCTGTAGGTCCTGAGAATTTGTGGGTTTTGGCTGCTTCGCTTAGCAGAAAGGTTTCCAGATAAGTTGAGCATAAAGTCGTTGCTGACTTCAGGTGCTTATCTTCTTGGTTAAGCTCTTGACTTTTTTTCCAAGAAACATTTGGAGAACAATGCAGTAGGGAATTGTACTGCTGGGATAGAAGAGGCCTCTTATGTGGATTATTATGCAAGAGTGTTTAATCGCATGCCCTGAAGCACTGTTTCTTCACAGACTATATTAATCTCCTCTACTTGCATGTACTGGGTCCTCCATTATGTAATTTAGTGACTGGCAGGGTTGCTGCGTTAGTTGATTGTTAATAGTGTGTCACTTTGGGTTTGTCCTTTGATGTTGAACTCTCCTGTTTCCTTTCCTTGCAGAGCTGATGGAGAAGTGAAACACTGTGTGATCTACAGCACTCCAAGAGGTTACGGGTTTGCAGAACCATATAACCTGTACAGCACGCTTAAGGATTTGGTTCTTCATTACCAGCAAACATCCCTTGTCCAACACAATGATTCCCTAAATGTCAGGCTTGCCTATCCTGTCTACGCACAGATGCCCCCCTCTCTCTGCAGATAAATTTTGGGGAGGAGGAAAGTGTTGGCTATCTTGGATTCTTTTCTACAATTTTTATTAGAACTTGGAGGGCATTCTTTCTCCTTAGACTGCTTGTTTTGCACAAGAAGTGATTCTGTGAATGTGAATCAAAAAGAGGCCTAGCAGCAACAAGACGACAACTTGGGTGTAGGTGTCCTGGTGCTACCTTAAAAGCTCAGCTGTGCTTTTACACTGATACTTTTGTTTCCTTATGAGGGGAATAAACTCAACACAATGCATACAAAAATACTGGAAGCAAAACATCATTTTATGGAGATAATTTTTTGCCAGGCACCTTCAGTGGAACTTCTAATTGGATTTTGTTTTCTCTTGTTCTTGTAGAGACAATTTGAAGCCTCTGTTTGAGGCATCAGTAATGTCTTTCAGTCTTAAACTCCCAAGAAACTAGGGGGGAAACTCTACCACAGCAATTCTTCTCTGTTAATTTTAGCAGCTTCACTGCGATTCAGCCGAACTTCCAAAAGAGGGCTTGTCTTGAGGTAGCATGGCATTTGGTGAGAGAAGACCAAAGGAATCATGGGAAAGCTTCAGGTTTTTATTTAAATGGAAAAATGCTTGTAAAGAAAACTTGTTTTATTTTTTTGCCAACAGTAACAAAGTTTTGGTTTCAATGGCACTACAGGTCTTCACTTAAAGGAAACATTTATAACCAAATTGAACATACCAAAACTTTGTTTGTTGCTAGATTGAGCACTTATGGGGAAGGTTGCATTAGCATCTGCACATACTTTCTACACCAAAACTTGAAACAAATAAAAGGAAAAGCTAAACGTTGTGTGACTTCAAAACACTAAATTTGTCTGATCTGATGTAATTGCTCTCTCCTCTTTTTTTTTTTTTTTTTTTTCCTTACTCCCATTCCTCAGCTTGGGATTCTGTTTTCAGTTTTTAGTGATACTGTGCTTCAGAATGTAAACTAGAATGAAGCTTGCACTCATCTGTTGCAGTTCTCTTGCTGAACAATGACAGACTCTTTTAACACTTGATTTTTGGTATAGAAGAGGTAGATGCAATCGAATGCTTCTGGATGGCTTATTGTACCAACTCTTTCATGAGGTGTAGTCATTTCCAGTTGTATAGAAGCGAGCATGCTAATTATAGATCTCCTCTGATTTGTTCTTTGCAAACTAGGTTCTGAACTCTCACGCCACTGCAGCCGAGCAAGATTTTACACTGGTATAATCTAAATTCCCTTGTAGTTATTTTGGACATGATGCAAAACTCAGGAAGGGAAGAGAGCCGTGCTCCTCAGTTATTGGGTGTCTGGTACCATCCTTTGGCAAGGGCTGCTGTCAAATACTGGCTGGGTAGTCCTGGGCTTCGTCAAGTACAGCAATCATCCAATAAATCCCCTCCCTGGAAAGTATACAAAGCAGCTTATTTCCATTCCTTAAGCTTCTAAAATGAAAAAGAGCTAAATTTGGCAAACTGAACCACTTGGCATCAAAGCACAACTGGCAAAGTAATTGTTCAGTATGCAACCTTGAAAGTTACTTTTGTTCCTATTACTGGAAGCAGTTTCCTTGCAATGCACCCATTGTGCGGGACAGGAAGCAGACAGTCATGCAGGTCTGAGAATGCTCTAGACCTGTTTCTGACCCTGGGGCTTATTTCCTGTTCAAATGTGGTTGTTTTTTTTTTTTTCTATGCCTGGGCAGTAGTGCCAAGCTTGTTGATCTCTAATGTTTACACGAGAAGTATTATTTCACTGAATGTCATGAATTTGCAAGCAGGGAAAGGACAAGGCTGGAGCACTGACAGCCATTGCAGGAAGGGTTGTCTGGTTGCCTGGCATGCCTGTGAGATGTTTTATTTTGCACTAATGACCCTGATGCATCCTAGGCACTTTCTAATCAGCCAGAGTGCAATCTTCAGGCAAAGAATTGTGTCGATGCCGCTTTTCTAATTAAATGAAACACTACAAAACTTAGCCAAGACTGGGTGAGAGAAGAAAAGTCACACAAGCTACTATGTCAAAGTGACCCACATCTGCTCACTTGTCCCTTCTCTCCCGCCTGCCCAAGAAAAGGAAAAATGAGATGTAGCCTTTGCTCGTAGTGAAAATCTGGAATGGATTCCTTTAGTGGTATATGGACATGGAAATTTTTCTTTTTAAAGAAACTTGCCCTACCTCTTGGATAATTTGCAGTTCTAATCTGGTAGCTGTAAAGCTATCCTCCTCACACCTCTTGTGCATCTAGCATTCCCTTGGTGTTGGGCTGACTCCAAATGCCTGGTGAGAGAAATAAGTTCAAAGGCACAAATGATAGCCAGGTGCCTCATGCATGTGGAAAAACCTGTGCGAGAGGAGAGTCTGATTGTTTTCTCTGCCTTTGCAATCTTGCTGGGCTTTCTTAATGTTAGCATTTGAGGCTGATAGGGCACGTATTTCTGATCCTGTTTTTGTGACAGAGGCAACCCGGCTGAAGTGTTTCACATCTGCCCTGTTTTTAGGTAGGGCTCGGTTTTGTTTTAAACAAGCGCAGGTCTACTTTCAGGCTCATAAATCGTGGCACACCCTCGCAGTACTGACAGCAGCGGGATAGCAAAGCGGGACTGTCTGAAGTTTCCCTGTAGTGGAATCTGACTGATCCTGTGAGGTCTTGGTCCAGGCTCCGGCCTCAGCTCTGCCAAGGTAAATACAGTGTAATTCCATTGGCGTCCGTGAAGGTAGCTTGGCTTTATAGTGGTGTGAGTGAGTTGGGATTCTGGCCCCTTGCTCTCCGAGATCCATTTGCTAATCGCAGGTGATGTATTTGCTGTGAATGATGCACTTGGAGCCAGTAAGCCATCTTGAAGCATTCTTTGAAATTCTGTTTTGCCCAGACCTTCAGATCATGGCTATGGGGTAGACTAAGCCCATGTTCCGTGTATTTGGCTCCATTATCCTCAGCAGCCTCTCCGAGTCTGTGCGTTGCTGCTGTATCTCTCTGTGTTTGGTTTAGGCGCCTAAGTCCAAGCTGCTACAGTTGCTCCCCTTTGACTCTCCGATGCTGTTGCACAAATTCCTTTTGCATCCATTTTGCACTTGTAGGGCAAACGGAAAATAGATATAAAACAGACTGACTAGTAGCTGGTGTGATCCACAGCGCAAGGGCTTTGTCCTGCCACGCTCACTGTGCTTGGCCTAAGTCTGTTCACTCAGTAGCGTTAGACCTGTGAGAAAACTCACGGCTTCCAGGAGCTGGTCTACGCTTGCATGACTGAGAAATCAGAAATGGACCTGTGAGGTGCAGGATTACACCCTAGTATGAAAAGCAGCTGTTAAGCCTAAAACAAACACAGGAAATGTGAACATAAAGGCAAAACAAAGGAACTCAAGTTCTTTTGAAACAGTAAGTTGCAAGAAGGTTTTGGGTTCAAGAGTCAAAGCGTCAGGAGGAGGAAAGGGGGAAATAGTCTCACTGTTGCAGCAGCCGTCTGTTATCGGACTGCAGTTAGAGGAGTACTGATCTCATTGACCCATATTGTATTAAATATGTATGTAGAGTTAAATAACTTTTGCACAGTGTTAAATGGGGGTGGGGGGAATGTTGAAACTCAAATATGCACAGTTTCTTCTAATCTGTTCTGAAGTATATTTGCAGGGATCAGGGGTGATTCAGTATTTTGTATTTGTATGGATGGAAATCAGGTCTACTTCCACAGTTGCCATTGGCCCCATTGTGTCAGCCACGAGTGCCATGTTTTCAAAGTTAGTAAATTATAAATCTTTTCCCACTAGTTTCTTTATTAATTACAAGTAATCTTAGAATGGGAAGAATCAATCTAGAAACAGAGGGATGTCCTGACCGATGCTTCACTAATATGTGAAGCAGTAATATGTGACCAGCCACTTTCTGATACTGGAGTGCTCTAGATTTGTGGGTTGTACTTTGGTTTTTGGGGTTTTTTTAATTCTCATCAGCAGTGGATTGGGTTGCTGCTTTGCGTTGTTGGTAGTTGCAATCTAGAGTTCTATCCAGTACAGCCCTCTGTCTTATGCCAAAAATAAAACGCTCTTTCCATTCTCATCTCTTTTGATGTGGCAGATGGTCAAGAAGTTTTCCATTTAATGTGATGGGCCTGATTCTTTTCTCGCTGACACTAGTGTAAGCAAGACTTCCACAACTGAAAGCCATTCCCAGGAAGAGAGCTTGTATTTAATCGTACCTGAAGTCAAGTCACAGCAGGGCAAAATCAAAGTTTGTCCTTCGCAAAGCCAGGCAACTGTAATGGGGACTGTGGAAATGAATGTTGACACTTAGTGCTGTTTTGGGGAGGACAGGGGAAGGAGGAGAGTCGGGGTTGCCCCAAATCCTGGGCTCTCTGCAGGTTTGGGTGGCACCGTGTCCGTAACTGAACGCTGTGGCTGTTTAAAACAGCAGAATTGCTATAGGAGTGTCACATCTTAAGTTTGGAAAAGCCCCTTATTTGGTACTTGAACAATCTTGCTTCTGTTTTTGAATGTCTGTTTATTTTTTATTTTTGTTACACTAACAGGGAATAAAAATCTGAAATGTTAGTGAGTCTTGTATGCTTGCTGCATTGTGCAGACATGAAACAGGTACTGCTTGTGGATCAGGAGGGGTAAGAGACAGGTTCAAAATGCAGTTTTACAAAGCACTATGATGTGTTGGGGGTTGTTTTGTTTAGATCATGTTTAAAATCAGATTTTTGTAGGTGTAGTTTCCTTATGTTGATTTGCAACTTCTGCTTTTGGAACAGCAAAAATCAAAATAACATTCCTGAAGAACAAAGATGCTGTGAGGGGAGGGGGCTTAGGCTTGCTCAAATTAAGTGTTCAAAGCAAATAGCTTTAATGAAGAGGAAGGGCCAGCATCCTAAAGCATCCCTCTGGTTGTAGTTTGATGAAGCAGTAGACAGACCAAGAAGTAGGACCTCTGCCTCGAACCACAAAAGAAAGAGGAGATGCCAGAGCAGACCCTTCCCTTTAGAATCATTGGCTGTACTCTCCTTAAATGTGTGTGCAAGGAGATAGGAAGTTAATAGAAGTCCTTAAGGACTTGCTCCTCTTTCTGTGTTGGAAGGGAACTTGCACTGCTGATCCCCTCGTTTCCCTTGGCACAACCCGTGCGGCCAGAAGGGAACCAAGTTACTAGCCCAAATAAACGTGGGCCTGTTCGTGAAGCAGCTTGGCAAGTTAAGTACTGCATGAGGAGTAGCTTTGGATGGGGTTAGATGAAGTTTGTCCAACATTTTTGTGAATCTTGCATTCTGTGGGCAGAAATACTTTCCACCGAATGGGAAGGGGAAAAAAAAAAAAAAATCTCTCTTGAAATCTTTTCAACTCCTTCCTATTTGTTCACAGGGGCAGATAGGGACCTTTAGCTTGTTAACTGTTTAGATGATTGCAGTGCTTGAAGTGCTGGTCTTTGGGGCTGGCTCCATACAATTAATGCAGAATTTGCTTTTTGGGGTTTTTTAATTGCCATTGGCATAGACTTGCCATATTTTATGACTAGACTCACCATTTTTTCTAAAATTTGCCTTTTAAAAAATGTAAGATGAGCTTAAGAGGCAAAAAAAAAAAAGAAGTAAGAACAGGCCCTTATTGATATTAAAAAAATGCCTCGTTGATCAACCTGTATTAGAGAAAGCAGCTTTAATTTGATGCCTTCCTCCACCACCTTCCCTTGGGATTGCTTCTGTGAGATCAGCGTTGGCAAACAAACGGGGGGTATTTCCCTCTGTCTCAGCAGCGCTGTACCCACGTGCTTTCCAAGTGCTCGTAGCAAGGGGCGTGGGATCATTTGGAAAAATGATTGCATCCAAAGACAAAAAATGTCTCCAAGGGTGAATATCACCCCCCCCAGCATCAGTCTCATCACTTCAGGGGAGTTGTAGGATGCTGGGGCCAGCCGTGAGCTGCCCCTGGGTCTCTGTCGGATGCAGTAGGGGTTCACGTTCGGTCGGCTGGTTGGGGTTTTGGTCTGTTTTGTTTTTGTGAGTGACTTCTACATCCAGCAAAGATATGTTTGATGAAACCTGTTAATTTTGTATATCTGGCTGTTTATTGCACCACGGGATTGTAATGGTCTGCATCATCTGTGTGTGTGTGTGTGTGCGCGTGCGTGTGTGTATATGTACTGTATGTATATAGATATATGTAAAATATATTCACGTACACATTTATATGCATTAGCTGTAAGTGGCACTGCCCCTTAAAAATAAAACAAAATTCACTGTTAGCACGTTCTGCCATGTGTTTAGGCAGAATTGGCTTGTTTTTGTCAAATGAAAAGGAGTTTATTGTGTTCATCTTGCATATGTGCTTCTGAAATGCTGAACTCTGGATTTCCTTGGGGGGGGTTACTACTTTATTTGTAAACCGAATTGAATTGGAGTGTTACTTACTCTGGGACAGAGCATTCAACTTTGTTCCAAGCAAAGGTTTAGCAAAAGAAACCCTCTCGCTCTCCTGTGAGATGCAGTGAACGTTTGCACGTTTCATTAGACTCCCAGACCCCCTGTCCAGAGCTGATGTGCAATGGGTGGTGTTGGTACGTGTCCCTTAGTGAGTGGACTCTTTGTATAAGGTGTGGTTCAATGTAAAGCATGAGTGGGTGTTTGATCTTGTATCGAGGGCTGAAATAACAGCACACTCCTTTGTAAAACCTTTGCATCAATGTTTCTGCTTTTCTTTGACTTCTATTTTCTTTAAGGGAAACTGCATCTGTTAAGAACCTGCTTCTCCAGAAGCTATTGAAATATTTTGTTTTCCGGATGAATTCCAGCATGTAACTTTGGTACTCTTGTTTGTTATTTGTGTAAAACCTGTTCTTCTGTCGTTTATGGTGTAGTCGGGTGGGGGGGT